AAAGGCACTAGTAATTACGATGGAATCACTTTCGTTTTCTGATTAAAGGCGAAGAAAACCCGGGATTGGCTCAGAAACGAAATTGGTAAACAAATGATAAATTCAATCTTACTCTCGAGACTTCGATGTTTCATGAATTTTTGTATACTCGTTGAAATATATAAAAAAAAAATTCTAATGCACGTGAAGCATTGAAACATTTCATCTTTATAATATATATTATCATATACATTGTAAATCGTACATTTTTCTGTAACAGAAACACCCTTGTTACAAAAGTAATACAATTTTGAAATTAATAACTCCTACATGAACTCCTCTATGAATATGAATTTTACAATTGACACATACATGCGTACACAACCATCAACGAACACACCAAAATTACAGTTTTCCACTTGCTTGTCTATTCTATGAAAAAAAAAAAAAAAAAAAAAATATATATATATATATATATATATATATATATATATATATATATATATATATATTCACAACAAGTAGAACAATATTTATTGCGTTCTGGAATAAATACAAATTTACAACCGCGATTCTACGATACACGCGGAGCTCGTGTGCAACTTTAATTGGTGGCCTGATGGCTTCATACGTTTCGCGTTTCGATTTAATCGACGACAAGAGGCGTTTCATCGCCGCGAATGAATACACGTGTCGAAAATTATTGGCACGCTGAGCGTAACCGTGTTTGCCATCGTCGATCGGCTATTCAATCGACTCGCTTTCGCCTTTCAATCGAGTTTTAGATTCCGCATTTTTCCTGCCATTATACGACGAGCGCGTCGATTGACGCGAGACAAAAAACTTCGTTAACCAAAGGTTGACTAGCAGTAAATGATTCAAGTTTGTAATTTTACGCCTCTTTCAAGCAGATTTTCTTTCGAATAACAAATGAAAGGGAATGTTATGAAATATTACGAGATTACTTTCTCCTTTCTACAGGAACATTTTTAAATTTAAAATATTATAGTCAGGTATTACGTTACTCGTTCGTAACGTTTAATTTAATCGTGATTTTATTTACTTTAATTACAATTGTTGTAATTATCTATAGTCTTCAAATCTTCAAATCAGACACTATGATTATTACGTTATAATTGTCAATTTACTTTTTGATAATTCAATAAGCCCGGAGTCTAACTAATAACTCCGTGACTCTAAAACTCGAACTTGATTTGAAATTTATCCGAGATAATCCACACATTGTTCGTTAAACAGTCGTTGAATTCATTCCTTTTACAAACTGAAAATAAATAACAAATAACTCGGAACAAATGTCATTAAAAAAAAAATAATAACAATAATAATAAAATCCCGTGATGAGAATAAAAAGCAGAGAAACAGGGTTGATTTTGAAATCTTGCCATTCCATACATCTCCCGTGACATCCTTCGTATCGCATTTCTCTCGGTGTAGGTTAACTTTCATTCGAAATTCTCTTTTCATTGGCCATCAATCCTGAAGCTATCGCGGAAAGATTGAAATAGAACGCCTTGTACGACGTTCCTATAAATCTCGTATATAAGCGCCCAGTATCGCGTTCGCATTTTCTGCAGAATTATTCAGAAACGAGCGCCGCGTGTCACGAATAGGAGGAGACGACCGCTGTCGTGTCATCGTGTCTCGTGTAACATTATGCAATTTGATTAAAGACTTTGAAACCGAGGACAGGATGTACCTCGAGAGGAACAGTCGAGATCTTCTGCTGATTCGCGGGTTCTCGTTCCGCGGTTTACGATGAACCAGCAGTTGTCTGTTGCGACGCTGATCTGGCGAAGTGGCACGAGGATGATAGGTTTCATGGATTTCTAGTTGAGAAGGAAGGAGATCGAAATTGTTGTATTACTATTTCTTTTCTCGTGTATTTTTGTTTGTTGTCTTTTTGTATCTAGTAAAATATTTATCATTTCATGTATTGTGTAATATCTATTCTTGTACAGGTATCTGTTATTTTGTACACTTTTTTTATACCTATTTATTATAATATATACCTTCTTACATCTTCGTTTCATTCGTGATAATAATAAAATAATAATATATTATAATACTATTTATTATAATATATACCTTCTTACACCTTCGTTTCATTCGTGATAAATAATAAAATAATAATAAAAAGTTATAAAATTAGAATAGATTACGGACGAAATGCAGAAATATTTAATTTTTTTGAATGAAGCAAAATGTGCTAGTATTTCCTTCGATTGCGAGGAAAATATTCTTTTATTATTTTATTGTACAAGTATGCACAAACAAAATTCTGCAACCTCGTGCAAAACGATTTCTTTAGCAGCTGTGTCATTAGTTTCCGAGACGGCGATAATATAATCACGTTACATAAAACGAAGCTAAAACGAGAATAGAATATTTTCGATTTGTTGTTTCCATCTTGTCGCAGGGTCACCGGGGATATTTAGCCACTCGAAAGCCAAATTTCAAGAAATCAACGCCAAATTATTCTCTACCTACGCCACGATACGTCTGTACAATAAACGCAAACGCGAAATCGAAACAGAAAGACAGCGATCGATCCAACGAACGAACAATAATCGATCGTGATTCGATCCATGAAACTCTGAGAAGAGGCTCGCCTTTAGCCTGCGTATCAATTTCACACGATCCAATCAATTTCCTATATATAACTTTATTATTTTTAAACGATACGAACCGATCTCAGTCTCGAGTGCGCAGAAATTTTCATTCGTTCTACGAACTTTCGATCAAAAGATTCGTAAAATTTTACATCCAATTTTACATTTGACACAACTCTTTCGATTTCACTCTTTTACGAAGTACATAAATTTCCAAAGCGCGTGGATAATTAAAATTTAACATCTTGAAAAATGAATGACTCATCTTTCTGGATTTATTTGGCGGGCAAAACTGAATATATGGAATTTTAACATAAATAATATTTTATCGAGTATTTATATGTACAAAAAGAAGCAAAATATATACATGTAACATGTAATATTTTGTAGGAAGTTTGGCTTTCGTAAGAAAATTCTACCAAGGTGTTATCATCACTAAGCTGGCAGATACAAACTGTTTTTGTGGAGTATTTTCAGTTTTACATTGCAATTAATTTAACTCTTTGAACTCGTGTGACGATACAAATTTGCCACAAATATACAATACAAATTTGCTAATATACAATTTATATACAGAGTAACAATACTGGAGTATGTAATTAGGGGTGTGCGAGAACCCGATGGTCGGGTCGGGTCGGGTTTCCGAAAATTTCGAGATTCCCGAAGGAATCGGGTTTCCCGAAAAAGTCGAGATTCCCGAAAATTTTGAAAACCCGCCTATCGTTTCTCGAACTTCTCTACAACGCTGTATAGCAGCCTATAAAATATATAAATACACAGTTCAATTTCCTCTGCCAGTGAAGTTATTAGAAACACGGATTCTAAGAATCGTGTGACCTGATGTAAACGAACGTATGACTGCGTGCTTAATACTTAGACATTGTGTACGCTGTTGAGCAGTATCGCTAAGAAATTCGGGGAGGTCAGACGTATATTTCAAAATCTGTGTGAATTTAATAAAGATTAAAAATCTTTGAAAGAAATGTCGAGTGATAGTGAGAGTAAAGTTGTGGTAGCAGGAAGTAGTGCAGAAGATATCGTGCAATGGAAGAAGGTGAAGAGAAGCTCTGTTTGATAACATTTTCAAGAAAAAAATGATACAAAGGCGGAATGCACACATTGTCACCGTGAATTTAAAACTAGGTATGTAAATACTACTGGTTTATTACGCCATTTGAAACGTATGCACCCAAACATAAGTATATGTACTAGAAAAGAAACTGAATCGATATAAAATTTGTCGCATGTACAAAATGATACGCGAAAGATTGTTAAACCAAAAGATATAACAGAAGGAATTGCTCGAATGATGGTTCTAGATCTGCGACCTTTCGATATAGTTTAAGGCGTGGATTTTAACGAATTATTTAAGCTTGTTATCAGTCCTTTCCCAAATCCCGACTCTTTCGAGAATCTCGAAATTTTCGGGTACCCGTCGCGATCCTGAAAAAATTTTGTGTTTTTGACCCGAATTTCGGACTTTCTTATACCTCTATATGTAATAATATACATGTATAGTAATGGTATAAGAATAGTATAATATACAGGATACAGAATAGTATAATATACAGAATAGCATAATGTAACAGGAATTTGACTTTTTACGAATTAAAAGTAGAACAAGAACTAGTATAAATTAATTAAAGAAAAAGTTACGAGTGAAACGCTGCTCTGTTTCACCCACACGGACTATAACAACTTGCCTAAATAAGAACACCGACTATCGAGAACGTGACTGTTAAAACGATTCTCATAACCTTCAAACTTCAAACCTGACCTAATTACTAGGCTGCGGATTTTTATGCATTTTACACAAGAAATTTTAAAGTAACAAATTTCGAATTTAGAATGCAATTCCGTGATACGAAAAGGAATAGCTAACGAAAAATGAAATATCCTCCCACCCCGTAATCGCAAAGAAAAATGATGATAATAACAAATTGAAATTACAAAGAAAAATAACAAGATGAAGTTCTGTTTAGCATTTCTACCAATATTGTCTCTCTTTTTTTTGAATTATATCTTCAGAAATGTAAAATAAGAATGTAGCCACGTTCAATGCCACCTATCCCCATCGGAAATAATGAAATCCGAAAAATCTTGGCAGCGATCGAAATCTCTCTCTCTCTCTCTCTCTCTCTCTCTCTCTTTATGTATATATATATTCATACATATACATAGATTGAGTCGCGATATCGCTGAGTCACAGAACTTGCACAAAGCGCCGTAACAAACGCAGCGAAGCGAGCTTCTTCGTCGTTCTCTCGAACGAGAGAAGCTGCCTCTAAAGAAAGAACTGAAGAACCACGGGAGAGACCAAACGGAAGCTACAGTCTCTCCATCGCGTACAATCGTCCACACGTAGACGTCGAGGATATCGAGATTTGGAGGATGTGGCCGGCGGGACGTACCGTGGCATATACGACGAAAGCACGCGATGCATCTAAACCGGGAACACGTGAGAACCAGTCCGGATCCAGTTCTCCCCCCGGCTGCAGTTGCACCGGCTCTGGCGGTGGCGGTGGCGGTGGCGGTGGCGCGCATCGATCGGCCGCTCGTCAAGGCTGCGTCTTATTCGGGCAAGGCCAAGGTCGTTGGCTGGCATTGCCGTCGAGCGAAGGTGAGATTGCAATTTCCCGCACGGGGGTTGCGCGCGGAAAGTGCAGCCAGGGTCACGGGCGATCCGCGAGATCGAACCAGCCGTTCTTGGCATTCGCCGGGATCGATGCGAGACCCGAGCGAACTGCGGCGGGGCGGGGGAGGGTGAGCGGGAGGATAGGTATTGATAAACACTTCGACGTGCCAACAAATTTCGTGGGCTGTGTATATATATCAGCGGAAGAATTTTGATGAATTAAATTCAGCAGGGTGATTTTAGAGGAAATTGTTTTAGAAGGTTGGAGAATTTGGAATTATTTTCACGAGGTGATGTTTCGAAATTATTGAAAGAAAGCGTAGATAAACGAGTCGTGGGAGTAGGGGGAGGGAATAAATTTTAAACAGATATAGTCGGTCAAGGAGAAATTCTAATTGATTTTGAGTCAGATTCGGGCGCTTTCAAAGGGATAGATCTGTTAGATCTCACGTATATTTTTGGAGCTACGATTGAACGTGTTAATAGATATACGTGTGTGCAAACGTGTTGATCGTAAGATAAGCAATAAGCTTCAAATTGTTTTGGTACAAGCTTCTAAAAGTTCATGATTCTTGCATAAATTTCGACAAGATTACCATTACGAGAACTGATAAATTGATTTCTTTGCTCGATGTTTCTGCACTCAATATATTTCCTGAACAAGAGTTTTCTAGTACCTTGGTAGCATCTATAACATAAACTGATTTAGAGGAAAGCTTGGCAAGAAGAGTTAATTCTTTCATTTCTAGTTAAAAGCTTGCATACTTCTTTGATGATTCCGTGTTTTTCTTGAAAATGGACCTTCGCTAATTTTATTAATTCGTTTCTATATAATCATCTTGGTGATCATCGTATAATAATTATAATTTTACTTTTGGAAAATAGATACATTTCTCAAAGATATACGTACGTGCATATTTGAAATTACATCTCTTGCATTTATTTATAGAGAATTTAGTTATATTAATTTTCTATCTGATCCAAATGTAATATCATGGACAATAATTTTCTTGGATAAATCAAATTCCTAACGCAAACTAAAAGTAAACTTTATACTTCTAAATTTCAAAATCAATTTGAATGTCTTTACTTTCATAGTGATGGATTTTCGATCGTGATGATAAATTTCCAAGAAGTTAAATAGATCTTTCAACCATTCGAACTATTCAAAATTGAATAAGAATAACAAAACGCAAACTTTTACGTTAAAATAAAGTATTTAAATAAATTCCTCTCTCTCTCTCTCTTTCTCGTTTTTTTCTCTTTTCTCTATGAATTTCAAATTTAAACGAGATGGAACCAAGCGAAGAATGAAACTTTAAGAAACGTTTTGGTATCGTTCAGGTATCAGCAACAACAGCCGAGTTGCGCAATAATGACTACCTCAGCGATGATATAATAATGGTATTGCAAACAATATTAGTCAATAGGACGTTTCCTGGTTAGATAATGGCGGCAAGGTTACGTGAAAAGAAGCAACGTGCGCAAAAGTGTTGTTAAAGTCGACTTCGAAACTGACTTCTATCCATTCGCCTATAATACGAGGCACGACTTAATCTTGCGACTTAAAACTTATTTCATTGACTCGAGTTTCGTCCGTCCCTCAATTTTCCACCGAGATACGTATGCATTTCCATCTGCCACATCGTTTACAATCTGAACATTACGAAATCAAACGAAAATTCCAGAGCGTGAATTGGAAAAATCCGGATTCCGGAAACTTGCTTCGCAATCTTTCTGTTACTTCTTTGTTAAATGTTTTTGGTAAAAGGAGATCGTACTTGATCGTACTTAACCTCTCACCTTCTGATATTGAATTATGTTCGTGACAGAATATAATCAACTACTGACAATAATTACATTCGACTTATAATCTTCGACGTGTAAATCTTCGCTTCCTCAGATTCAATGATTTAGTTGAACGTTAATATCTTAACTTTTTTAAATTTCACAAAATTGTAAGATTTAGGTGAAAAGAAAATATTTCCATCGAATTGATCTCTTTCACTTCTAATCAGAATATCTGGCTTGAGTGTAATGTTCGCTGGAAAAGATTAATTCTAAATGCTAGTGCTATTTAAATACAAATAAACGATACATTCTTTTGCCTCTGTTGGGAATATTCATTTTTAACATTTCAATTGACGAAAAGTTATTTTTATCGTTCAACCACTGAACGTGATTTAATTCAACAAAAGGTAATACCGTTTCAATTCTTCGGCCAACAATAAAATGACTTTATTATTATCGAATCGCTCGATATCCTCACAGCGTTTATTCCAACAAAATTGATTCATCTCCGTTCTCTTTCCCGCTCCATTTTTCAACCGTGAACTATTTTTATATTCAATTAGAAATCTGCCTCACCCCCCTTCTACGTTCTATAAATCCTTAAAATCGAAGGTCTTGACATTGTTTCTCTAGTCGCCGCCTCGGCGTCGCGACTTTAAAATACGCCTGTGCACGTTTAAACGGTATATCACCCTTTAAAGAAAGCGAAATCAGCGTGCAATAAATGACTCGTTATAGTTTCTTCTACATGCATCACGAAATTATTTCACAACACTTGTAAACAACTTTTATGCGCCTACTGCGAGCTTTGCATACATCGAGATTTTATTATCGTTACGACTATCGTGATTATACTGCGGATTTTTATGCAAATATATATATATATATATATTTGTGAAAACAATGAAAACGTGTATATATCCTATTATGTATTTTTGTATATTCAAATTTTCTACAGGCGCGTTAAAAGTTCCGAGCTGGTTATACCGGTTGCAACACATTTGCTGCAAAGATATTTTTAGTGAAAAAAAATTAGCATGCAGCATAAGTAGTGGACTTAAAACGTGCAATTAGTGTTGAAAATAGTCTCATTAATAGCGTGAATAACCGACTCGCGAATAACCGACTGTTCGACGATCCTCGCGAGATCTGCGTGTAAAAGCCAGATTTCACGAATTCGTTTCGAATTTCACCGCGGCGCCGCTCAATTTCAGTCAATCGTGTCTCAAAAATGTTTCGAGATATTTCGCGTTCGAAGACTTTCGCGAACAACCGCGCATATATGTACATCGTACACTGTGTATATCGAGGCACTGTCTGGCACACAGTCAATAATGCACCCAGCCGGTTGTGTACGAATCGTGTACGCCCGAAGCATGCTGAAATATTTTAGTCTTATGTGTTTCGTAGTTTCTGTTGGCACTCTGATATCAAGGACAGCCTTCATTCTTGACTCGAGCCGGAAACGCGCGATCTCTCGCTCTTTTCGATTACGTTCCAGCCGAGCTTTCGAAAATGGGAAGCAGGAAGCGGAGGGGAGAGCAGCGTGTTTCGGTTTTAAGCAACGGCGAGTCGATTGTTTAATTGTTTCTCCATCTTTGGAGCGATTTACGGGGCGTCGCAACGATTGCGAGTGAATAGCGATCGCTGTTACGATTGTTAATTGCGCGTTGAGGAGCAACCGATGTTATTTACCTTGAAATATGTTAACACATTGTTGACCGGACACGTGCGTACAGATTGATCGCATATGTATGAAGCGCATGCAATTATGCAATTATTAATGTATAGAATTGTTCATGCTGTGCGTTTAAAGCATACGTTGTTTACTACGTTCGATGATCACCGCTGGATCTCGACAAGTATCCTCCGAGATTTTTCAGATTTTAATTAACGCCGTGTTATTAGTAATGGAGCACGTTAACACGTGCGATCGCCGCGTCACCCGTCACAGTCGTAGTGATTGATGATCTTGTTTTTAAATCTTCAAGCAAGAAATATGTAGTAGGTGATAGAATAGAAATATTTCGTTGAAGAAAAGAGTAAATCATTTTTAAATCAAGCAAATTAAACTCGATATCAAATGTAAATGGTACAGTGAATTTTTTGATTATTTTGAAATAGTCATAATTACATTATTTGCATAAAAGTATGTAATATTGTAATAGTTATTTGTAATATATTGAAAAATTTCTCACATTATGGGATTTAAGGGTCTCGTTTGCAAATTCTCTAAATTTCTAGTTTACACTTGATGCAAAAAGTGTGTAAAAATTTCTAATTTGACAAGCTAACGCTGAAACATATACATGTACATATCATAAACTTAGCAAGAAGAATCAAAAAAAAGCAAAAAAAAAAAAGAAAAGAATAAAAACAATAGAATGTCGAGAGCAATTTTGTCGCAAACCTCGAAGAATCCTACTCGATCTACGGCGATTATGCGTTAACGCGTGCGTAACATCAATCGAAAGCTCAGTTCTGCACTTCATACTTTAATATCTAGCTATATATGTTAATTTCTGAATATATTGTCGGACGTACTATACAACGACAGACACCCGTGTTTACGTATACACAATGGACTAAAATACTCTAGGTTAGGAAATCACTATTGATATTAGAACCGTGTACTAATATTAGAAGATCCGTGTATTTTATACACTCGGTATTAATATATCGTAGTCTATACGTAGGGGAATTCAAAGGAAAGCCAAGATACACGTACGCGACTAATTCGTCTCTTTCGAGTGAAACTTGAATTCAAACTTGACTCAACCAGTCATTAATCTTTTCACTTTCGCCAGTACTATCTGGTATCTCTTCCTCGAAATTTCGCCACGACGAGTCGTCATATTATTCGTGATATTTTTCCATTCAGACCAAGTCGATTGGACAGCGGATTAGATTACAAGTTATGTAAGAAATATTTCGAGACAGATATCGAACGATGCTAATGATATCGTTACAAGTCTCACGAAAATCTAGTCAACTGCTAGAAATTTTTCAATGATGAAAATTTCAATTTAGAACAATTCAAGTTTAAATGTTTGTGCCTTGCCGATAATTGGTTATCGGAATATCCGCCAGATACAGGAATATGTAATAAAAAAATGTAGGTTTCTGCTCGAAAGTTTCAACCTGATCTTTAGATTTCGATGTCATTCAAACATACATGATATAGCATAATAAATGCCCTACAACTTTTGTCCAAAACATGTCGGTTTTTCATGTCGTTTGTGTTTTTCGAAATACGCGCCTGGATATTCTCAGTTATATGCATATGTATCGCTATTGATATTGTCGTGCGTGTGTGCGAAAATGCGTGTGTATCGTTAAGAAGCGGAGTTAATTACTTCCGGCTTGAGAATCGTTCGATCACGAATGACATTAAGCGAGCAACCTTCGAGCGAAACGCGTTTATATTCCGAGGCCTTGAGAGTTGTTTCAAAAATGAAATTTTACGATCGGGCACACGGAAAACCCCGTATCTTTCAGTCGTTAATTTCGGTCTTCCTGTAAAGTGTATATATATGAAATGAGATCTACGCGATCCATTTTCGAACGATTAATAAATATTCGCGCCTGTAAAATTGATTTGTCGTTTATTACCGATTACATAATACGCAAAAAAGAAAAATAATATCTTTAAATTAGATTGAACGCATACAGTTTTAATTGATTTGTCGATTATTATCGATTACATAACGCGCAAAAAAAGAAAAATAATATCTTTAAAATTTAGATTGAACGCACACAGTTTTAATTGATTTGAAATAATTTTAATGTTTGTTGCTCGTTTTAATGGACGATAACTAAATTATCGTTTCACACGCTGTGATTGCGCAACCTTTTTTCATCAACGCAGGTTTCATCAACCAGATCGTGAACAATATGCTATTGTCCGATACGATATCGAAACGCACGCACAATCGACGTAATCTAATTTTATATTACGGATACGACTGTTCTCCAATTGATATGAATTTTTTCGACAGTTCTTTTATCATTGGAGTCATTAATCTACATTAACAAGACCTTATTAATTAGAATAACAATTCTGATAAGATAATTGGAAGTTTAGGAAGAGTTTGTTATGTCATCAAACACGCGATATTACAATTACAATTTCTTCGATATAATTTAATTTTTTCGCATATCTTGTGAATCTAATTTACTGTATACCATATCAATTAAGCCTCAGATTAATCTTACTAATAAGATCAAAACTATATCAATAACTACAAACTGTAACTATAAACAGTAATTGCAAAATTAAAAAACTGACAACTAATGGTCATAATATTTGAAAAAAAAAAAGTAAAAGTTCAATGCTTCAGAACTTTAAATCATTGATACATTACTTGCCACGATATCAAGTACGATATCAAACGTTTTTCCATCGCGTTTTAAAAAGTCTGTGAAAAGAGAAGATTGAAAAAAAATATACGTAACAAACGAAATGACGGATTTATTATCTCTCAGCAGAGAGAGATGTTTGGTCCGCCCTCAGGTGTAAAATTTCGAGCAGCAGAGTTACTTGTTCGTAACTTTAGTATCGTTTATTAGTCGATTCCGATTTAAAGATTTCGCCGTCGTTGGAATTTCGTTCGGTTCGCGGCGGTCTCGCGAATTTTTTTCCTCTTCGGCTACGTCGCCGAATATTCGCGGTCGATTGACGTCACGTAATCCAAGCGAACTGCGATCGATGGCTCGTGGCGCGCGGCACCCCGGCGCGGAGGAACGATTTATCGACTCCACCTCACGTCACCGTATCACGTGCCGCTAGATAATGCAATTTGCCGCAAATAGAAGCCACCGCAGTAGTCCATTATACTATCGAGAATCATTCTGTCCGGGTGCACTAATACGAGACATGCACGGCGCAAGTCTGCAACACGTCGGGATTTTTCGTCGAGACCTTAGACTCGTCGGAGGCTTACGCGCGATCTAAAATTCGCGAGACACGAGCGGGGATAGGAATAATGGACGAGCACGATGGTTAAATAAACGAAACGTTTTGCTGCGGATGCTGCCGTTTGATTGCGGATGTTTACGCAGCTTTGTATCTTGACATTTTTTTTTTTAAGGAACGCAATTAAAGAAACTGACGATAGAAGAATATAAGAGCTCTATCTTGCATTTTTCTAGAAATCTAGCAGAAATCTGGCCGTGATATTTTTAGTCGATGAAAACATTCTTTGATATCTGAAACAGATTTGGTATGGTAAGGAGGCAATTGCAACATCTAAGACAGTCGTGAATCCTATATTTCCTCATTCTGTTGACTTGATCATTTTATTTTGCACTGTGGTTAGTCTCTTTATGACAAACCTGTGCAGAAAATAATTTCGTGCAATAATAAAATATTCTTAGAAAATATAAATGAAGGCTCTTCGCAGTGCCTGTCTTCACAATCCTGCCTAATATTAAATTGTCTAATCTATTCGAAAACTTAATAGGAAGGAATAATAATTCCTTTGTAATTTATGTAGAAAATGGTCATTTTTACATTCTTCGTAATAAAAAATAATCAACTAAAACAAAGAACAAATTTCTTTTATCGCGTTTAATTTATATCCCATATTATGCGCTATTGATTGATTAATTTTCTTTAGGCATCCACAAAAGTGCATATTATATGAAAAATTGTGAAAATTATTAATCCTCCCTGGTTAAATTGTATTTATCGAAAGCGAAAGAAAAGGTATAAAATTCATCGCCACGAGTATTAGTCGACTATAAACACGTTCCAACGAATGTTTTTGAAAAAATTGCTAAAAAAAAAAAACGTAGACTCGTTATCTATGACAAATATTACGAATAAAGAGCACTCTGAGCACTTTTGAGCGAGAATGTACGCACGCACGCGTGTGTACACTTTACTTGTAATGTAAAACAAAATTTTGCAAACGCCTCGAATTGAACTTGCGCGCGTCCTCGACATTCACTTATCTGCGCGACTATCTACATTCAATATTTTTGACGGAAAATTTCTTTCAAACACCGTATTTATCCGCACGCGAGAGATTTCTGTTTTCTCTTGTCGGAGATAAATTTCGTATTGAGAAATAGGTTATCACTTACAGGTCACAGAAGCGTCAGCAAGGACTGCGGCCTGACGAGTCAAGGAGCGGAAACCTTGCAAAGTTCACGTTGTGAATGTTACCTTCTATCGTAAGTAGCCTGCCGACCGCGGAAAATCAAGCTGAAATCATTGCGTGGTCGACGAATCGTATGAATGGCTTCTTCGCTGACAAAAACGTTTACCATCGAGTGACACTTGTGCTTATTCTTTTTGCACCTTCTAACCCTTTTCAGGTTAGACTCGTTACTAATGAAATTTCAGATTATTATTGTTGTTGTTGTTATTATTATTATTATTACTGATTAGTTGATCTGACACTTATATTTTTGCACTTTTTAATCGTCTGACATCTTTGCTATTTTCACTCGTTCATTGATAAGATTTAATATTTAATGATTGATTTAATAGTCAAACAACGAAGGATTGAAAACGATCGCTAGTCCGACCAGGGATTCGTGAATTCCATTGGTATCTTGTAATTTGCAACTTGTAAACTATTGAGACAGAACTATTGAGATTTTAGAGAAGATTAATAATAGAAGAATAGCGTGAGAGACTCGGAAATTCTACAGATTCTTCTAGACATGCATAAACGCCTAGTACCGTGGAAAATCTCCTTGACCTTTGAACGACACTTAATGAAGACCAAACCGAAACGACCAAGTCGAATCTGATAGAGTAAAACTACATAAATAGAAAACGGCGCGACGCCACGTCCAACTAACGAAGATATTTAAGTCCAGCGTGAAAGACGAACCGGCTTCTCGTTCCCTGACCGAAAGTTCGTATCCTTGACACAGAAAACGACAGTTAGTCATCTAACCCGAACAGCAGCAACAGCAGCGGCAGAAATACCAGAAGCAGCTAGGAAAAGAATGCTATCGCCAACGAAGCGAACTCGAGGATTCACGATCTGTCCGACAATCGAGCATCCACTGTCTCCTCTTACGGGTCGCGGCCAGATTCATTCTTTCTTCATTTGCTTCGTTCTCCTTTCGATATTCCCTCGTCATTGACCTAATCTCCTCGTTACGCTTCTGTCTACGATTACACGGAATTCTTTTTTTTTTTTTTTTTTATCTGTGTTCCATAGCGTGTACTTATACTTGTCCTTCCGTGGAAGGATTTATCTATGCTAAAAGTGTGCCAAGAAGATTGTTCATTTGAATATTACAAATTAGTAGTAGCTGGAGACTAACGAAAAAAAAAGATTATTTTGAATTTTTTCCTTTTTTTTTTTTTTATTTTCAAATGTTGCTGATTATACCTTGTTTTAATTTCTTCGATGGTGGACCACGAATGGACAACGACAGGTTATTTTTTTATGCGTCTCACAATAACTGTCCTTCCATAGAAGAATTCAGTTTATCAGTGCTAGAAATAAATGTGTCCATTTGGATAACAAAATAGGGTCCATATATAATAACACGTAACACGTGCCTCTAAAATAAAATTTTATGCATAGAATTCTTTAAGAAGAATGCCTAACCTAAACGCCAAATTGACTGAACCAGCGACGAAAATATTCCTAAAAATTGCGATCGGCTCACTCTTGCTTCCTTACTTTTGGTTGTGCCGGTCTTGAAATAGGTCGAATCGACGAGAAATTCTCGCGTGAACGTTCAGACAACAACTTTCTCTCTCGTCCCCACCGCACGACCCTCGTGAACCAGCGCCAGGAATGATTTATCGTGAAAAGGTGGTTCACGCGGTTGCGTAAGCGGTCGGAATTGAAATGTTAATTCGCCGCTACGGCGGAACGCGGCTCGATAAACTGAGATTTCCACAATACCTAAGCGATAACTGTAAACGTACGGCGAAGTGTCGTTGCAAGCCGCGAACGAACGCGTGTACACGGATTAACCTTGATCCTTGAAGACTCCAACGTCCGCCACGCGCTCTGACATCGTATTCGCGCGTATTAAAAGTCACGAAAGATCATCGCCGATCGGGAACAAAAAGTGACAAGAGAAAAAAAGAAATAAAGATTGGAGAAGAGAAGAAAGGTTGTAAGAAGAAAAATCGTCCGATAGATGACTATTCGTTATTATTATCGTTGTTGTTAATAAAAGTGTGCTGGAATAAAAATTTAACTTTTTTTTAATTTGAATTTCGATGCTGCTCTGAATGAAAATATTATATTTCAATTTTATTTCGTTTCCCCTCGATCGACGACTACTTTTTTCTTGACAAGTCAGAAAGAGAAAAACGTCAGGACAGAAATTCAGCTTTTTAAATTTCAATTTCGATCGTTCAAGAATTAATTACACAGATTATCATATCATCTCGTTTTCTTTCGATTGTATGAGTCATATTTTCGTTGTTTTTTAAATCTTTTATTCTTCTCAAGAATCTAAGAGAAGAAAGAAGAATCAAGGATCCTGAGATTACTAAGTTATATTTCGTTATTCTGAAAATTTATTTTTACGAAAGATTCCGAAGGAAGTTGCCGGGGAATTTTGAAACGATTCGGAAGGGATGTTATGCAACGGGCAACGATTTCTCTGCGATCAGAAATGTATAATTTAAAAAGTTAAGGGCCACGTCATTTCTGTTGGCCGTTTCAAATATACGTATTTTGTTACGTAAATTGGAACTTGTATAGTAGACATCCTTCGTGACTTCTTTTCTCGAGGGTTATTAGCATTCTTTTTAAGATTTTTTTATTAGCATTCTTTTATTTGAATAATACGTTTTTCCTTTTTAAAGAATTCGTTTACTAAAATAGCGCACCACTTTTCCTCCTCGTCTTAAAAAACATCTTTTTCTCACTTTTTTCGCTAGAGTTATTTTTCCATTTTCATCATTTTTACATCATACTTCGTTTTATATATTTTTATTATATCACGCTTTATTTTTGTATTTTATATTATATCGTATCATATCTTGCCAATCCTCTTAAAATTTATGCACGTTTATTAAAGACGAAATTAGAGGCAATTTTTGTCGACTGCAGAACAATACGTCATTAATATTTAACAATGGGAACGCAACAGAGGCCACATATAAAACAAACGTAATGTATCGCAGAATTTTAACGAGATACGACAGACATGTTCATTTATATAGAGGAGCGTACAATTCAGTTGGGTACCATTTATTACAGACTATGTATACACTCGATAGACGAACCTTCAACTAGGTCCAACGACTCGATCCAACCACATTCCCGTGGACCGGTCTATTGTTAAAAACAATTATACAAATTAGCCCGAAGGAGCGGAGACGCGATCCGGGGCAAGGTTGGCTATAACGGGAATTAGGCGAATCAACGAATTACTCTCGTCAGCGTGCCGTTAAATTGTCGTTGTGAATTTTTGTTTAGACGTATTCCCGGGACATTTTCGACGAGAAAGAACCGTACACGTGCCCGAACTTAATTTTATTCTCCTTGAGAGCACATTCGACGATGGACACTCCGTACGTTAAACAGTTTAAAGCAACCCCATTATCGTGTTTAGTGTTTCCATGTTATCTAAACCTTTTGTGCTACCGTTCTCGTAATAGACGACATTTTCCAAACGTCATTCTCGGTCGTGAGTTTCGTTCTCTTTGTCAATTAACGGCCTTTCCGCGATCCCTATACTGCAATTTTGTTCCCATTGCGATAAAAAGTGGCAAGCACGATTAAAAAGTGGGAAATGTAAAATTAGAGCTGGCATTATTAACAGTGATTATTTCTATTCTACTTTTTTATATTCTTTTGTAGAATATATATTCTATTTTTAGAATATTTTACACTTTATTTTTTTTTTTTTTTAACGTTAGGTAATTAAAATTAACTGTCTTGAAGTTAAAAGACATTCGTCGTAAGATCGAAAATGATTCATAGAACACACAGTTGAATTATTTTATTGAGAAAATTTGAAATTTTTGTCATTATCGCAAACGTATAATTTTTCAGATTACTTGAGAATTTTTATTTAATGAATTACTGCGTTATTTTTAAAATATACGTCCTTTTTTTAAAGGTATAGGATCAGGGTGCTTCAATTAAAAATATAAAATCTTTGACGAAATTTTGAAACATTTAAAGTTGTCTATCAAGTCACAGTGATGAAATCGAAATTCAAATTCTTCTTCAAGGACGAGTAGTCTCTACCAATCCAGGGCTAGCCTTCAATGGTATCATTGGGTCGTAGGTAACCACAATTACAGCCAATTTAAAGAAGGAACCTTTATCGTTGAATAATAGTATTTATCGTATAAAATAAAGTATTCGAAAATTAGATAAAGTCCCCCAATGTTGAGCAACCCAATCTAAATTTAATTGAAATTGTTGAGCGTCACGTATGACCCAAAAATATCAAGCGAGACTTAACATGCTACCGTCGTCCCGATGGATTTTCGATGGAATCGTACTTCCTCTTGCCCTTACCCGAGATTTTCTTTCGTATTAGAATTTCAAATTTCTTCCGACATTTCGTACTCTCAAATGTCAGAACTAAAATTACAAAATCATCAAGAATGCACGCTCAGTTTCAAATTTATGATGAAAAAAAGTACATTTTTCGATGGAATAATTCTCAGAAACTTCTTGATTTTCTAATGAAATTTTACTAGCACAGTGACTCACGGATTTCCAGAGTTTGTCCCGATTTCCAAAATTCTGTTCAAATTGGCGAACAAATGGACATTTTATCACTGTTTCGTTTTTCTCTTTTGCGTGTCCTGATGACGATCGAGATCGCGAAACGACCAGGAACTACCCGACCAGAGATCGAGGAGAGTGAAAGAGCCATAAAGGCAAGACGACCCTGAAAATGACGAAGATTCCAGAGAATGTTTTAACTGCCCGCCTTTCCTCTATCCGCGTCCGTATTCCGAAATTCAACGCACCTTAACATCATCGAACGGCTCGCTTCGACTTTTTTCTTTTCACCCTAACTTTATCTTTGTTTGTCTTTTACCATATCCTTATTCATTTGTCTTTCACTGTATAACCTTCGAGTAGTCGAGATATAAATATAATTTGATTCTTCGGCATTCTTCGCAAGCTTTTTATCTCCGAAAGGGAATTGATCTCTGATTTAATGTTCCAGGCCATTAAGATACTATTTAATATTAAAATGTTTGAATGTTTAAACGTCTCA